AATATTATTGATTCGCAGCCGACTAATATAATCCGCCGAATAATTCCATCTACAGATAAACATATTGCTAAGACCGGGAGCAATAAAAATCGCTTGGGGTGCGCATTGAAACTAACACGGGAATGCCATTAATCAAACTGTGCACGTGTATTTAAATAGAATTCAAGATTAGCCTCGTCTGATACGAGATGAAATGTAAATTAAAACATAAATTCAAATTATTAATATAATATTTAACTTAAAACATATCCATAAGATATAGAACAATGGGATAAAATACGAATTCTAAGGTAAAGTTTATCTTCTATAAAATGATTTCAGCCGAAAAAAACATCTCGATAAATTGTATAAAATATACTATATTTAGAAAGTAATCGACACATGTCGAGTATTTCAAAGAGGCTGGCATTTGGTCTCAATGAAAACCCCATATTGGCACTATTACGCCACATTCAAAGTTCTAATCCTATTCTACTATATGTAACATAAAGTATCACAATATGATCCCAATTTTGACCCATAATATAATGATTGTTACGTCGGCCAATTTCTGAATTAAGAAAAGTACAAGATCTCAACTAAGTATTCTCAATAATTCAAGATTTTACGTTTCACGTATCCTAATTTTATCAAAATCCTATCAATTGATCATTAAAGAAAATAAAATCGAAACGAAAACTTATTTAAGTGATGTTTAAGATGGTTAAAGCACGCTTTGAGACGTGTTTACATCAAATTCTCAATTCAGAAATCGGGTTTTAATCACATAAATAATGACTAAATTAATGAAAATTGAAATGAATTATTCTCTAGAATAAAAATAAGCTCTAAGATCTAACTTAGTAAAGAATGTGTGCAAATGACGAACCTTTCTTAAAACAAGCGTATTAGCAGTGCACTCGTCTTAGCAGAACGTGTTTTTTGTAGTAGTTCTAGAAACTCGGCGAACATAATATTATTGAAGATAGAAATATTACATTCCTGAAAATTTTTCACTTGAGTTTTAGCTCCGAGATCAACTAGTCGTTCGAAAAGACTTACTTTTTATATGAACAACCCAAAAAATTGATAGATCAGTCAGCCCCTTGCAGTTTAATCTCATTGGCCAATGGCGTTGTGCCCATTATCCCTGCACCCCACGGGAACATCCACTACCTATTTATTGTTTTGTTTCGCAATAAAACCGGCAAGTGCAGCTGTGGTGCATTAGTTGCGCTAGCGATGTGTTTGTTTTTTTATTAGCTTCGCAACTAAAAGTATTCTGGAGAGTGTGATGTTTGGTTTTCTGAGTAGCCAGTGCTATGAAAACAGGGTGTCGGTAAAGAGAAATGCATTAGTACTTTATAAATCAATAATCGTGATAGAAAAATGACAAAGGTTTTTTGTTAACATTGTAAATAAACATAATCTTATGTTGAATAAAATGAAACACTCCTTATCTTCCTGTTTAGAGCACTCAATATATGTATTTAAATTAATATCCCGGGGCAAATATTATAGCCAAATATTTGACCTTTTGGTGCTTTCATAAATACACTGTCAACATTCTTTAAAAACGAAATATTATTTCATTCGTTTTTATTCATAAGTCCGTATTTTTCAATACGTATAAGCAAATGCCGGTAATCGAATAATATTCAAAGTTTTTTACAAGATTCCTGTGTAAACAATTTTATAATAATGAAACAAATATTGTAGTTTTTTACAACTACAAATGCACAGATATTTCGCGTCACATCAACTCCTATTAATGGCCGCACTGCTGGGGCTCAGGCCTTCCCTATAGATGGAATCGAATAGGGAGAATGAGCCATTACGCGGGCCCAGTGCGGATTATTGTGTGATGTGGGTGTTGACGACTGCAGATGCAGCCGGAACCAATCGCTTAGCGTACCCTCAAAAGCATGGAGGAGCTAGAGATAAAAACATTTTGGTCACCGATCCTATGACTATCCCTAAATACGTCGGTCGGTCGCCTTAATACGTTGTATGACATAACATAACGTATTTAGGCGACCAATAAATTACCAAGAGAAAACAAAAACCGTATCGCAGATCGGGCGCTCTAACTACTGCTACATCGAGCTCCATTGTCTTGTTGCATATTTATATGACAAATTAAAAATTCTTTGTAAATATTGTCAGATTATTGTATAAAAGGAGGAAAAGATGCGTACGCGTGTTGGATTCTCACAAAAAACCTCTCTGATAGATAAACATAAGAATAAAGCTTTAAAGTATATACTGTTAAATGATTACTTCAAAAGTTATTGCAGCGCGTTTTGTAGTAGATTAACATGCTGCTGTAAGATAACTGAAATACTCGAAATCCTTGCAACCGAGCTGAGCATTTCGTTGTAATGTTAACAGGCCGAAAATAATTACACGTTATCCGGTATTACTAACTACTCTGCAATAACATTTCAAACGCATTGCATCCATATTCTAACGTCAATTATAAATTGAAGACCTCTATGTCAGAGTGGCTCGCATGCCGATCTCTAAGGTTCCCATCTCTGAGATTTCGAGTTCACGTCCCAGTCGGATTCATGTAGATAATGAAGTTTTCTAAATTGTCTTGGCTTTGGTTGCTGCTTATGGTAATTTCGTTGGTAGATGGTACTGCGATAAAGCTCCATATACATTCGATTTGCATTCTATGACTGGTCACTAAATCTATATATACGACAATATACTCGCACTTACAATTTTCATTTGCGGTGCAGTGCACACGATACTACTGATACAAAAATTATGCATGACGTAAATTTTGAACTTAACTATCAAAAATTTAATACCGATACTTTATTTTAGATTAAGATGTTATGTATTCACTCAACTACTTATTCGCATCAAATATAAGGAACGTTCATATTCACCGGCAAAGAAAAAATATAGAATTTTTTCCATATTTTTTTGGCAAATATTGGTAAATTGTTTGAAAGAAATTTGAAAATCCTCGTCTTTAATAGAGATGCAAAGACTTCTATGTATAATACGCAGGACTTGTTGCAGACTTTTTTATTTCTATACAAATTATTTTAGAATCATAGCATCCATTTGAACAGTTAAATTAATACATAAAATGTAAACGACTAGTTCCAACCGGAAAATTGCTAATGTCATCACAAAACCACTTTAAAACTACCATAATCATATCAATACCTAATATTCTCTGCTGTAGTAAAATACACCACGGTAACACGAACTGACGATAAATATTAATTTGATAAATTTCCAAATTTAGATCGCAACAACGTGCGGCGTGTCGTAGCAGCGTACATACCGTGAATAGGCCACTCGGGAAATTAGACCCATTTGTCGGACCTGCACGGTGACCGGTAGACATAAGCGCAGTGTTGTTTGCAACAAACGTACCCATCTCTCACCTGTCCAAGCCCAGTATAACACAGCTATTGTCTAAGTTTAAAAACAGGTTTCATATTTATTTTAGGTCTGTGATACTTTTTTAAACTCACGCTAGGCTCTCATACAATTAAAAAGTACTACTAAAACTGCTTTAAAAAAATATCATGAGTGATGGACCGGAAATCCGAATGGTGTAATGTTTATTTTCACGTTTTACAACTTTACTACTTTTTCTTCTTTTTTCTATATCCTAGGCTTTCCATGACTTAAATAGTTGTAACAGGGGTAAGTAGTAAAAATTTGATTGATTTTTAACTCAACGTACTATTTAATACGCAATGTATCATATAAGCTCGGTCAGTATCCCGCCGGACAACGCAGAAGCGATGTCGTGGAGGCGCTGTGATAAACCAGGCAACGGATTATTTATCCGTTCAAAAACCTCGGTGTAGAGTATGATGTAACACTTTTACGGGGCTAGTTGTAACATGTTTACAAGACGGATTACATATTTTATCTACGTCAATCAAATAACTGTCAACATAAGAAATTGAGATTTGTTATTATAAATGACTGTGAGCCTAAAGTTCGTTTTTAATTAAAGAAAGATTAAGTTATTTTTTATATTTTTCTATTAGATTAAGAATGCAATTAATAACTAATTACTAAAGCCAGATTACTAAAGTTGTTAAGATCATAAATGGTCGTAAGCCTACCATGTTATTTATTGTTTTAATATTTTTTATTAGATTAAAAAATATTTTTTAATGTTAAAACCTGTGTGAACATAACTGAAGTTTGTCTTGCCACATTAATCATAATAAAATACAAAACTGATTTCAATTCCTAATGTTACAATTTCCCCCAAGCCCGTTACAACTAGCCCCAATCATGGGGTAAGTTGTAACACTCATCAGTATTTCTTCAAAGGCGGTTTTAAATAAAAAATATATATATTTAAAATCGATAATTGAACTAGCTTTCTGTACCTGCTTTAAAAGTGGTGCGATTGGAAATCTAAAAAGTCATGTACTTGTGTATAGCAGATAGGTCCAAGGTTGCATTAAAATCACCGATGTGCAGGATTTTGCTTATCTAGCTGAGATAAACAACAAAAATTAAACAGAAATTTAAACAATAACTTTGTGCGACACTCAAAACACATGTGCGTATGTGTAATAGGAGCACTATTAGGCTGAACGTAACAAAATTATAATACTTTATAGTACTTAATTTTAAGAGAAGTAAAGCAAAAATCGATTTCTTTGATTTATTGACGCATCTTTATTACAGATATTTTATATTATAAATAGTTTACAAAAACACGTGAAAATAGTCTACGTATTATACTCGAATTGTGAGACAATTTTGCTAGAACTATGGCTCTATGAACCCCAGTTTGAGTTGTCAACCTCGAGTCACTGAATGTCAATTAAATATTTACTTAGCTATGCAGTCGATGTGAGTTAGAATTACTTCCTCGATGCTATTTATTATTGATTTAAAGATTATTAGAGAAAATAATACATGCTTGTCTGATTTATTAACTAAAATTCTATTTTATTTCATTACATTATATATTTTGAGTTATAGAAAATTCTATAATAAAAGGACATAAAATTAAGCTACTCTTATTTTGCTTGATTCAAAATTTCCAGTATTATGTAATAAACTAAAACATCTGCATCATTGGACCACATGAAATCAAGATGGTCAAAATCATTGCTTGCGACATTATGGTAATGTTTAAGGTATGGTAAGTAAGACAATAGAGTTTCAATATCTGGAACAGATGAAAGCCAATCTCCCGTAGAGAAGAACAGAACTATTGGCAACCGAACATTTTGCAGGTTATAAGCTGGTGGATAAGATGAGCCATACTTCATGAAATTCTTTTTGATATCCATATCAAACATTCTGAATTGGCCACTTTTAATTGACTGAATGTAATGAACAATCGTTTTTGTAGAGCTTCCCCCTGGAGTATAAGTAAGAATTTTTGATGAAAGCTCCTCGTTCACTTTTTGTGCACCGTTCGCTAATAACAGCAAAATGTTGTGACACAAATTTGTATAATCTTCACAAAATAACTTCACTAAATTCGGAGGTAGCTCTTGAAGAGGCGAGTGTTCCCGTATCCCAAGGAGGCGTAGCGTATCGGAATTATAATGCTCTGCTATAAGTTGGAGAGGGCCTTTCACCTCGTGCATAAATACAAGAGGTGCCAACAGTATTGCAATTTTAACGGAGAAATTATATTCAGGTAACACGGATAAGAGAACCAGAAGGGCTGTAGCTCCCATGGAGTATCCAATAAAATTCAATTGAACATCGTTATCATTTCTATCTTTAATGTAATCAATAACAGCTGCTAAATCAAATAGTCCAATTTCATGCCACGAAAAATCCCAAAATGTATCATCATTGACATCCTTTTTAATATGTGTTCTTGAATATTTGTTACCTCTTGCATTTACTAGCCACACGTCATATCCAGCTGCTATAAGTAAATAAGGCAAACTTTTTTTCGGTCCAAGCAATATCCAATCATCTGAACTGCCAAGAATACCGTGATGTAGTAAAACAATTCCGTTTCTACCGATAGTAACATTTGGTGAAGGAGATAAAATTCTATGTAGTGTCAGTAAATAGCCATCAGTGGTAATTACAATGTGAGAATCTGCTTTATAACCATCAGCAGATACTAATGTTTCAAAAGTATTAAGAGGTACATAATGTTCAATTCCAGGCACATTTCTATGTTTAGCAGTTGTAGAATTTTGCTGTACTTCATCTTCCACGGCTTCTTTTAAAAATTTAGTAAATGCCTTCATTATTATTTTTCTACGTTTTTCTACTTTATCCATATTAAAGGTAAAAAAACTCATAACTTTGTTCTTTAAATTGATAAAAGACTGTAAATAATCGTTGTTTACTGTTGCCAGGATATCATCAAACAGGTTATCATCACATAATATTCCAGCACAGGTACACAATGTCACTAGAACACACAATTTCAACATCACACAAAATATATTTATGAGTACAAGAAACACGTTTATGTAACGAGACAAAATCACCGTGAGTGTGAAGGGCTAAATAATATTTCAACAGTAACGGTTAATGTTATTATATTTTATACATCATAACAAAGGATGTTAAGGTTAAACATTGTAGTATTCTCTAGGTCATATTTATATAACCTATCAATTAAACATCACTTGTTAATGTTTGCATGAGTTTAACTTCATAATTTGGACTAATGGCTTCATTATTTGAACTATTATACCTATATTGTCTTTTTTTACAAAAGAAAATAACAAGTTGGCTGTACCAACATATAGAAACTAAGGTTTTGAGCCTGAATATTTTCCCTACAATGAATGCACAAACGAAGAGCGAGTACATAACATAACTAAATTATACTACTGCAACTAAAGGACATGAATTTTATTATTTTAATTTGACAGACAAACATTCCTGTCCATTGTTTTGAAGCCAAATCTTTTGTTTGTTGCCAAAACAATGGATTCAACTAGGATGGCATAGACGATGTCGAAGGATTTAATAAAAAAAAACAGGAAAATATTAATAAACGAGGATGGAGTGAAGTTTATTGTTTAGTTTATTCTCCTCCATATGAAAATCCCTGACTGTACAAAAAATCAAATTATACCACATAAGAAAAATTTGATTTCTTTCAGAAAAGTCTTTTAATAAGAAAAGTACCATATTATCTTTAAAATTCTATATTTAATTATTACTGTAAACTAGCTGTTATGTGTGGCTTCGCTCATGTAATTATAGAAAAATCATTGAAAGTTGTATACCATACGTAACACATACCATACATTCATTATGACAATCAAAACACCTAAAAGAAAATCAATAATATACTGACTGATTATAAATTTTGTCAAATGAACATTTAATATTTTTTCCTCTTTATAATATTAATATAAATCATTCCATGAATTTATTAAATATCACATTCAACACTTGTTTAACTTCACTCATAATTTTTGCTCCTTCTTACTCTTAAGCATTTCTTAATATTTTTTCGTGTTTTAAGTAAAGATTATAACATTTTGTTGTAACTTAACTTCTTTAATAATCCCTATTAATTTATAATGAAATAAATATCATTTATTCACCAGGTTTTATAACAGAGAATGCGTTGGATTTTATTTTATCAGTATTTTACTCTCCGTATTATTACAAATGACAAATATTCACAGTTATTTTTAAACGTTAAAAGTTGGTTCTAGAATCATAACAAGCGATTGGCGTTTATTTTGCACAGTTAATTTGCTTCAAAGTATATAACGAAATTGCGAATTGAGTACTTACTATATGCATGTTGAATTTAACAGCTAATGAATAAGCAAATTTAGGATTTAATGATAGTTTTAAAATAACGACAATATGACGTGAACTTGAACTGTCAGTTGCGTTTTGTTATATATAACAAATGAACGTAAGCTGTTATTTGCATTTTAATAAAACACATAACTACTATAATAAATATTTTTTTACTCTTTTGTTATTATTATTATTGATAAAATATCATATTTTAATACTTATTATACTTTTGTCGACAAATACAGAGAATGAGGAGTTGACTAATTTTTTACACTATTTATAACTCGAGAACTGCTGCGCCGATTTTATTATATTTATTAGCAGACCCATTCGAATTAATGGCGACGTTAAGACTGCGTTTAAAAAAAATAATTATTAGTCGATTAACGTACTCATTATTGAGGCACGGCAATTTGAATGAATTCACAGCAAATTGAATATGGAGAATGGGAGATGATCGACTATGCAGACCCAATGTGGATTAGAGGGTGGAGATGCAGCCGGTACCAAAGGGCTAAACGTGCCTACTGCAACGCAGAGGAGCTCGAGGTAGTAACTTTTTGGTCACCCATTCAACAGGCCCTTGCGAAAGATGCTTAACTTCCACATCGCAGAACAAATGCGCTAACTACTGCGCCTTTGAGTTCCTGTGAAGAAAAGAAAAATTATAAATGAGACGAAATGAAAAGGTCAATCAATGCAAAAAACAGCATAAGAAGATAAATCTGATGGCGTACTATATGAAATAGGGCGTCACATATTCTAGCTTACATACCTACAACGATTATTGTAAAATTGTTCACCCCCTGTTTTTTTAGGGAATAAAGATCTGTAATAAATAAATGTATAATTACTAATTGAAATTTATAATTACGAAAAAAACTTTTTTTTAGGACGTCAAAAGGAAATACCAATTCAAGAATCACTCATACAATATATTAGTCTGTCTGGCTTTTAATTTTAGCTGAATAAGTGACATTATTTTGAAGTCAATAAGAGTTACCAACAGTTTTACCTGTACATAATAGCCTATGTCTTACGCGCATGCCGTAGCTTCCCGTACACGAAAGTATTTAAAAATTGGTCGAGCAGTTTCGTGCAATCAAAAGAAACGGATTTTTCTGACCTTTGAATGGACGATATGATAAACAGTCCATTACATAAAAAAAAATACAAATGTAGTTCTTTACCTGTCGATTACAGAAAAATCGGCTAGAAGTCTTCATTTCTTTGTTTACAATCAACTTGAAGTTATAGAATATGATTTTAGTATACATCATAAGACCAACAGTCAGATTCACAAACTCCATCAGTTAAATGCGACATTACTAATACAAATTAAACATTTATTAGAGCTTAAGTCTTAATGGACGTTTGTGCAATTGATCGTAAATGTGGTGAAAAATGGTATTTCAATCAATTGAATGCTACGTAATTAATGTCATTTGTAATCTTTATTACGAAGTTTATGAAAATTGTTTTTATTAATAGTGTCACTAAGTAGCTAGGTGGCGTAGATTATAAGCGCCGCTGCCCACGATCGTTGTTGTTAATAAACTTTCGCAAAGGTCGGTCACGGGATGGGTGGCCAAAAAATTATTATCACGAGCTACTTCGTGCTTTGTTGGTCCTGGCTCCATTTGCAGTCGTTAATACCCTCCAATACGCACTGGGCCAACGTGGACGGTCATGGCCCATCCTCCTTAACCATCCATAAGGAAGGCCTGAGCCCCTGCAGTGGAGACGTAAAAAGGGCTGATGATGATAGTGTCAATAGATTTATTGAATCCTATCCCTAATTGTTACGATTATTTACTTTCCTGTTGTTTGTAATTATAAAACAGAACAGCTAGACTAATTTCTAAGACTACTTTTATTGTTAGGATTACGTTATATACATTATCTGAAAAATCAGAGTGAAGTTTTTGTTTATATAAAATATTTTGTGCTGTTACCGTCTATATCTTTACTAATATTATAATAAGGAAAGATAAGATTGTTTTCTATTTTTATTGAATAGGTTCCGAAACTACTAGATCGATTTTAAAAATGATTTTACTCGAGGGAAGCTACATTATTTGCGAAGTCTGTATACGAATACTAGTCGCGAAAAAACAGCTAGTTTTATAAAAGTTTTCATAAATCTTTAATTTTTTCTTAAGGTTCTTAAAACCGTTCAAATCGATGCTGTTGGAAGATTATTCGAGAAGCCACACAAATAGCGAGTATATATGAAAAGAGTAATGAAAGGAAGAAATATGTATATTCCTAAGGACTGCGCCTTGCGGCGCTCGGTCCTCTCTGCCTACCTGCAAGTGAAACGCCACGAAGAGATAGATCTTTACTTTATTATATTTCTCGTTAGCGATCAGTATGAGTCACAGGAGTTGTATTTATTAGGGAATCTAGTAAAGTCCTCCTGGAATGGACGCAACTAAAAGTTTTCTCATTTGACGAGATTACCGATACGTTAGAGGGGAAATTTACGTGTTCATTACACAACCAAAATTAACACGATAGTCATGTGAACTGATATCATACCATTTAAGAACATATATAAATCAAATTGATTTTAACAAAAAGAGTAACGTCCAATCAAATCATCATTTCTAATAATATAATTATGACCATTTAAAAAAATAAACATGGTATGGTTCAATAATTGAATTGTTTAACCATACTATGTTTTATAATTGAATTGCGATTGTGACGTACAAGATTATATATTAAATCAAGATATCACATTAACAATAAAGTATAAAGACTGTTCGTTACAACAAATCATTACACAAACAGTTTATTTTTAAATCTTATACTCCAAATGATGATATAAAGAGATGCAAAATAAAATAATAAGCTTCAATGGATTATGATTTTAATGTATTAAATCCTTTTCTTACACAACACATTAGAAGGCATTTGAACCACCTAAAACTATTAAAAGGAAGGTCTATCATTACATTATCTTTAGCTTTTAGTGATCATCATTATTGCAATCATTTTCTTAGAAATAACTTAACATTATAATTATTAAATATAAATATCACTTTGTATTTAATTTATTTTAATCACACTTCTTTAAAATTTGTAACTAGGACCGACTACTAAGAGTTTTAAAATTTTAAAGAAAACTAATACGTCCGCATCAGCTCCCCATACAAATTCAGTGTGACTCATGTTCTTTTCACGTATAATATAATGGTCTATCGGATTTTCAATAGTAAAGAAAAGTCTCATTACATCAGGCACAGTCGCTAGCCAGTCTTCTGAGGAACTGATCAAAGCAATTGGAAGCCTCACATTACGCAACTGAAATTCTGATGAGGGATCGCCAAATCTATGAAATCCCCCATTTTGCACTAATTGTCCATAGTGAAGTATAGTATTCGTCGAAGTGCCTGCCGGAACATGATACAGTAGCCTTGCTAGGAAACTGTCATCAGATACAGATTCATCCCCATTTATGCCACCAGTAAGGAATAAAAGTGGATTATTACAAAACAATTTGGGACGAGTACAATACTTCGTCGCCATAACTTTGGGCATTTTTCGAGAAGGCATAAATTCTGTATCACCTATTACTTTCAATAGCCTGCCAGGAGGATGGTTAGACATCGTAGTGAGCATTTTTATAGGACCTTGTGCATTTGACATAAAAACTAAAGGTGCTAACAAAATACCCATGCGTAAGTATTGATTGTAGCGAGGATTCGTCGATAGCAGGACTAAAAGAGCGGTCGATCCCATAGAGTGACCTATATAATTAATTTTTTCGTTCTTCGGTTTAAACTTCTTTATGTACTTTATGACAGCTGGCAGATCGTATTCTCCCATTTCTTGAAATGAGAACTTCCAGTAATTTGATGAATTGACTCTCTCTAACAGGTGACCTCTGGAATAATAATTACCTCTTGCATTGGTCATCCAGACATCAAAACCAGCTTCACTTAATATGTAAGGCAACGATTTCGAAGGTCCCAATAATATCCAGTCAGCTGAACTGCCCATCAAACCGTGATGCAGTATTACTGTTCTATCTGGACTGCTGCTTCCATTGAAAATCCGATGTAAAGTCAAGAGATAGTTATCCTTGGTTTTTATAATATGCGATTCTACTTTTTTCCCATGAACCATAGCTAATTGTGGCGTGGACATTAACGCTGTAGGTTCAGATCGAAAATTTGTATATTCAGGTACTTGTGTACTTGCCGCGGATCTTTCCACAAAGTCATTAAACGACTGTTTTATTTTCTCTTCTAGTATATATTTTTCGACTTCTTTCTCGTCCTCATAATTTCTAGGCACAAAAATACTTTGTATAGATCCAGATACGCGATTAAAAGTTTTAACTATTTCACTAGCCATTTCATTAAACTTATCACTTATGTAATCGACGGGACTCAAACAATTGACAACTTGATAATTGAATATTATAGAAAAGAAAATTATTAATTCCTTCATAACGAGTGATCGTATTCAAATTACTTTCTGAACTGCTGATTGCATCATTGAAAGGAACATACTGTTATGAATAAACTATCTTTAATTCAAAAGAACAATAGGTGATATGACTATAATAATATTATACTGATCACAATGTAAAATTGTGTAATGTTGCTAGTCATAGTTTTATTACTATTGGGTTATATAGTCGAAAAACAATTAAATATAATTTATTCAGTCTAAGCTGTTAATATCGAAAATTACGTCATCTTGTAACGATGTGTCGTATCACAGACCGTTTATTTCATCCTAGGTATCCGCATGCAAACTTTTTGTCTTTCATCTTCAATATCATTTCTTTTTATTATTCACCTTGCGTAATTTGAAATTTTGAGTAATCCAATAAGCTCTTTACGAATGTCAGTTCGTGAAATTTAATCTGTTGTGAACTTGATATTTTAATCATATAAATTTAATTATATAAATCTAATAATAATAAAGTTATTATAATTTAAGTTAGAAAAATATAAATCTAGTTTTATCTTTTACGGAAAACCCAGAAACGTCAGTAGAAAGTCAGCCTTTTATTAATTTGCCTAAGCATCGAAACCGTCACAATCTGTTCGCAAATCGACCGCAGGAGACCTTGGTACTGAGAAGAGCCGGCAGGAAACTCAGCAAGGGCTGCTTTTTTCTCAATATCGGTAATAACAAAACAGATATTATTTCGATTACCGATGAAATGATGGTTACTGTTTGCAATTCAGAGTTCCAAAACACCTTGGTACAGTGTCGAAATATGACAAATCTAATAAAATTGTGCAAAACGTATATTTAAAATGTAGCAATTCATTATGGAACGCCGTCTGCACTGTCGCATCTGTACTTACTTTGCTTTTTGTCAATTTCACGATTATTGGACAAGTGGAGATGCTTTATATTTTTGATTCTCTTATAAGTGCCAAACTGAAAAAAATAATTCTTTTGCCAGCTGCAAGAAAATTGTGAACCTGAATGTTTCATATTGAACTTGATACTTCTTCGAGATGAAATTATTTTGATTGAAATTATCCTTAATAGATAATTTTGCTACAAGATATTTCGGTATTCATTTTTGCATTACGATGGCCTTAGCAGGATCTGTCGATTCTAATATTATAAATATGGATAGATAGAATTCTCTTTATATTACATATATCAAATATACAATTTTATCTTTTAGTTTGTAGGAGGTAATTTTCGGAAGTATTTATTGACCGTGAAAATTCTTTTACCCGCAGCAAGCAATTTACGCGGGTGAACTTGCGGGAAAATAGCTAGTCAGTCTATATTTTCACGCAGTAAAGTTTCATTTCATATTGATTTTCCTTTTACGTAAACGTGTGTACATAAAACCTTGTAAGGAAAACGGGTCACAATTCTCATACGATTATGCAAAAAATTAAATATACCGACAACTTTCCCGCGCCCTGAACAGTTCGGAAGAACTTTCTTTCTTAACGACGTAAACAATTTAAATCTAATGCAATATGCAGACCTCGCTGGCGACTCCGCACCACCCTATCACCCCTCCCTCTACCTGCTTCCTCATAAAAAATTCACCCTAATTCTGAACCGACTCTTCATGAAACCTTGGGTCACTCACTACTCGAGAAATTGCCACTAAACTCTATTTCCTCAAGATTATTTTTTTTGTTATGGGCACTTACATTGTTTATAGTCTAGAGGTCTCGAATTATAAAGTAATGAGCTATAGGAGAAAAAATAATAGAAGAAGGCAGTAAGGTATAAAACTTAATGAATATTATATAAGAAACAAAAGTTTAATTGACTTTCAAGAGGGGCGCAAAACCAAGAATGACGCTATAAGACAGAATGAGATAGATAGGATAAATTCCAAAAACGGTTTTAAATTAAATAACTCACAAGTTATTATTGTTATTATAATATTTATTTATAATTCCACCGGCTTTTAATTAAAACTAAATAACAACAATGAATGGGAAAGATGTGGTTACTTTGTATTTTGTTTTGTCTATTAAGAAAATTTATGATTTAACGATTTTTATATTTTCGAATACAGCTTATTCCCTCGTCATTTATTTGTACAAAATCAATTTAACATACTGACTATATTGAGTATAGGTAAGCGCCCTCTTAAAAAACTCAAGATAAATCTTTATAATAACAATCGTGATGGACTTGAAGTCAGATATTACAAATAAAATTTTCACAAGCAACTACAAAAACACTGAAAAATGAGATAATTTAGTTTTCAGTATCAATCTTAATAATTGCAAAATCAATGACGGCGGTTTTGTAATTAATAAAATAGTTGTAACACCGAATATAGGATATCCACAGACATTGTTGAGAAATATTTTCCCAATGGACATGAGCAGACGAAACGTGGTTCATAAACGCAGATCCAGTACAGTTGTAGGTGTTAACGACTGTAGATGTAACAGCTTGTGGTTTATGTACCTTCCGTAGGATAAACCAACATCACTTGAACATCATGACACTACAAAGTCGATTTTCCTTGCAATAATAATATGACGGTGACCGTTACTTCATATGTCAGACATTTTGATTTAAAAAAAAATAAAAATCCTGTTTGTTGTTTCGAATTGACATTGTTCGACTATTACTCGTAAACTTGTAAAGTTAACTTAAGTGTTATAGTTTTTCTTTCAACTCCGTTATATATAGGTACTGCTGTCGCAACGTTAAAATTTTTGTCAATAACCGTTTGGTTGGTAAAGGGGGAACGTTGACTAATGAAAATGAGCTCTTTAAAGCTTAATAAAATACAATAGTTTACTAAATCCAAAATCTAAATATCTAGTTTTTTAGCTAAACCGCGAACGGACGAACGGACAGACGGACATGGCAAAAGTCTAAGGGTTTGTTAAAATTGGACTTTAGCGAAGGGTAAGTAGATCTATCAAAACTGGTAGAACAGTTTCTTGGCCTACCGTACACTTTTAAATTATGTAATAAATTACTGATACGTTTGTTTTGTTTTCATTCGAATTTCGAAAAACGATATTGAGCTACTAAGAAATCAATAAATTTGACGAATTTTCATAAATTTAAAAATATTGTCATTCCATTTATTGACTGAAGACGGTAATTATTAATACTTCTGATTTTTTCTTGAATTAATTTGATTTCGTTGTTGGTATAATTTATTACAAATTATATAAACGTTTATTTAGTCCCTTGAAAGTTTAAATATCTTAAGACAAAATAAATGTACCTTATGATATTTTTTGCAGTGGCTTTATTTTGTTTTTTACTCAAATAAATATCTAAAATCTAATATCATAATACTAATATCATTTCGAATTAATTTCGAATGAATAGGTTAAATTCACAACGCGACAAAATTCTACAAAATTAATTTCTGAACGCACCTTGATATGTATTTTTCTTGTAATTTTATCGTAGAAGTTTTAAAACAGTATGAAGTTGTAGAAGAGTATTTCTATAAACTATAATAATTAAAAATCCAAAATTAAACAAATCTCTCTAGTTCTCTACTCGAGCTACATTTTCAGAGGGATAGATCTTCAGAGTATATATAATATTATTAACTTCATAATTGTATATAGCGAGCTATATTATTGTAGATACAGTCCTTGAAATCACAAGCCTCCGTTGAATATCCGTTGAAGTGACTCCTGGGGCTCCCTACTGTTATCCGACAGCAGCGAAGAGAAATCTTCTGGATTAGTCACATATACTATGATAGCTGTTTTTCTGCGACTGCACCCATGTCAATTTAGCTTATGTCAACAGCTTATCATGTAGTTTCATTAGTTGAAAAAATATGTGAAACAGGTCCAGATCTTTCAGAGTCTATTCAATGCAAACAAACAAACAATCAAATGTTTCCTCTTTTTATTATTAATTAATTCATATTTAGAAAGGTGATATTGTTGTATATAATGTCACCTTTCTAACTCGACCAATATGTCGAGCGTTTTAGTTACGTTGTTTCGGTACCACGAGTATATGGCGATAGTAATCTAAAATATCTATTAATTTAAATATACATTTATACACAATCCGCACTGTAACCGCATAGTAAATTTTATTCATAATGTTTCTTCTAGATCCCATGATCTTATCCCAAAAGTGTGTGTGCACCTAAGGGGGTTTTATGAGTATATCACGCGCGTTTTGGAGTACACATAATGCATGGTGCTTCAACAGAAAGGACATTATATACGTTATATAAAATTAAGAAAAGGCTGATGAAGACCTATATATTTACTCTTTGATAGTTTGGCATTTTAAATCTGTCGACCGAATATACTTTCATACTATCTGGAGTAATATAGTAATAGATGAGGAATAATGACTAATTAAATAGTTGAGTTAAATGGGTATGGCGCTAAAACGATTCAAGTCCACTTCGTAATGAGCACAAATGTCAATTTTTTGCAAATTTTAATTCCTTTTACAATGATAGGTGCAGTTTATGCAGTTTATTGTGTGTGAATAGTAGCTAATAAATCCGCTAGTAAACAAACCATAGAAACGGCGGTAAAAACAGTAAAATATAAACAAACGAAAAACGCAAACACCAATAAAAAATCACTAAATGTCCCTGTAACTGTAGTTACAGTTCGGATATGTACGACGAATGAGGTAGATCGAGCTACCAACATTGAACTCATGCAAAATGCAGCGGCTGGCCTCCTACCCCGTACTATACCACCCGCTCCTCCCATTTATAAATGATTCTGGCTCAATTTCGCTGGCTCTAGCCTGCCGGGATATTGTTTGACTTGTGGACACACTGGACTGGATTGTGTATTAGTAATGTTATAATATTATATTAAGTCATTAGATCTGACACGATTAATGCAGTAACCGAATTTCTAATATACAGTTATTGTTATAAAACTTAT